CCCCGATTCGTCGTGCCCTGGGGACAGTTCTGACTCGACCACCTGCGGACCTGCCGTGCAGTGTCCGGGATATCCGCTGGGTAGGCAGAGCGTTTTGGCTCAGAGAATCGGAAATTTTTAAAGACGAGAAAACTCGCAACATGATTTCACCTGCCGCGCCGTGCCGTGCCAAGTGTCGAATCTTTAGCGGCGACCTCTTGGGTTGCAAGTCCAGTTGAGACATCCCCCCCTCCCCCCCAGTGTGGCCATTTACACCGCGACTATGGCAACCCCTCGAAACTCCGAAGACTTCAAAGACTAAACGACGGCGCCTTAAATATTTCACTCCCGAGGAGTGCAACTCTTAAAATGGCTCACTTTGGTGACGCGCGGCGTGGTTGTCATGGAGATCCGCGAATGGCGCACGTAGCCCACCGTGCATATCGGGAGGTGCGGGGGGAAGGACAACGAACGGTGGGGTCTCTGTGTGAGTCCATGGGTCTCTGTGTGAGTCTATGGGTCTCTGTGTGAGTCTATGGGTCTCTGTGTGAGTCTATGGGTCTCTGTGTGAGTCCATGGGTCTCTGTGTGAGTCCATGGGTCTCTGTGTGAGTCCATGGGTCTCTGTGTGAGTCTATGGGTCTCTGTGTGAGTCTATGGGTCTCTGTGTGAGTCTATGGGTCTCTGTGTGAGTCCATGGGTCTCTGTGTGAGTCCATAGGTCTCTGTGTGAGTCTATGGGTCTCTGTGTGAGTCTATGGGTCTCTGTGTGAGTCCATGGGTCTCTGTGTGAGTCCATGGGTCTCTGTGTGAGTCCATGGGTCTCTGTGTGAGTCTATGGGTCTCTGTGTGAGTCCATGGGTCTTCGTGCGAGTCCATGGGTCTCTGTGCGAGTCCATGGGTCTTCGTGCGAGTCCATGGGTCTCTGTGCGAGTCCATGGGTCTCTGTGCGAGTCCATGGGTCTCTGTGCGAGTTCATGGGTCTCTGTGCGAGTCCATGGGTCTTCGTGCGAGTCCATGGGTCTTCGTGCGAGTCCATGGGTCTCTGTGTGAGTCCATGGGTCTTCGTGCGAGTCCATGGGTCTTCGTGCGAGTCCATGGGTCTCTGTGCGAGTCCATGGGTCTCTGTGCGAGTCCATGGGTCTCTGTGCGAGTCCATGGGTCTCTGTGTGAGTCCATGGGTCTTCGTGCGAGTCCATGGGTCTTCGTGCGAGTCCATGGGTCTCTGTGTGAGTCCATGGGTCTTCGTGCGAGTCCATGGGTCTCTGTGCGAGTCCATGGGTCTTCGTGCGAGTCCATGGGTCTCTGTGTGAGTCCATGGGTCTCTGTGCGAGTCCATGGGTCTCTGTGTGAGTCCATGGGTCTTCGTGCGAGTCCATGGGTCTCTGTGTGAGTCCATGGGTCTGCGTGCGAGTCCATGGGTCTCTGTGTGAGTCGATGTATGTGTAGTGACATGGAATGGGTCACGACGTTGCATAGCGCGGGTTTTGCTGGCAGAGAAGAGAATCTGCAGTTGCAGCTGCCCTGTCTGGGCATCAGGTCATGTGACAAGCCAGCAAAGGTCACAGAGGGGGCACGTGAGGGAAGCCCGCGAACCCGCGAGGAGGTTCTAGAAGGGGGGCGTGGCCGGGGCGGAGCGAGGCCGCGCTGGGAGGATAAAAGGAAAACCCCGAGCGAAGACTCGGGGCTGTCGCCTGGAGTGGAATCTCCTCGTCGTGCTGCTGGAGTTGCGGATCTGGTCGTCACACCAAGATCAAAGACAAAGATCCCCCGTACAGCATTAACAGACTGTAGGGGCAAGTGCTGTTAGCGAGCACCTATGAAGGTCGGAACGGCACACGAGGGGGTGGGTGGCCAGCACCACGCCCAACCGCCTTTGTCTCCCCTGTGGCGTTGTTTACACAGCACCAGGTACTCATTTGAGGCTAAGTCGACCTAGGGGAGGCCCAGGACCGGTTCAGATAAACGTCACTGGTGTTGGCCGTGAGCGGGAATCGAACTGGGGTCGCCGGGTTCACAGCGCAGCGCGCTAACCGCTACATTACACACACACACACACACCCAGTGACACACACCTAGTGACACACACGCAGATACAACAACAAAAACCCCCATTCGCCACTAAGTGGCGGTGACGTCACCACGACGCTTGTGCCAGGCTATGTGCACCTTGAGGCTACCACGTGAAGTGTCGAACGCCCGCTGGCAGGAGGTCACGGGGCACACCCAGCAGGTGCCACGGATTGACTGACGGAGACGACTGGCTGATGCACCACCTGTGCCCCCTACTGTGCCACTTGCTGTGCTTTAGCAACCCAGCGCTCCGCTCGTTATTGAGAGCGTCGCTCCTCCGCCCTCCATTGTTGTTGGAGGGCGACTGCCTCCAAATTACCACGAGACCACAGACACAGACACACAGACACACACACAGACACAACAACAACAACCGCCATTCGCCACTAAGTGGCGGTGACGTCACCCACGACGCTTGTGCCAGGCTATGTGCACCCTGAGGCCACGTGAAGTGTCGAACGCCCGCTGGCAGGAGGTCACGGGGCAGACCCAGGTGCCACGGGTCGACTGACTGAGATGACTGGCTGATGCACCACCTGTGCCCCCTACTGTGCCAACCTGCTGTGCTTTAGCCACCCGGCGCTCCGCTCGTTGTTCTGAGCGTCGCTCCTCCGCCCTCCGTTGTTGTTGTAGGGCGACTGCCTCCAACTGCCCAGTAGCATCCTTCACGAGCCTCCTCCACAGAGGCCGATCTTGACACCGCTGGTACCAGTCATCGGCAAGTCCACTCAGCTTCACGTCCTCCTGTACCACATCACTCCATCTCTTCTCTAGCCCGTGCCGCGCCCGCTTAGCCCCCTCAATCCGGCCAAACAAAAGCTGTTTCGGCATGCGGTGGCTGGGCATGCGGGCTACATGACCCAGCCATCGCAGCCTTGCCTGCCGGAGGAGCTCACCGATGGGACCCTGCCCAGATCTTTCAAGGATTTGTGAGCTCCTCACACAATCCAGTCTGGTTAAACCCAGGATGGATCGTAGGCAGGCCAGCCTAAATGTTTCTAACCGGCGAAGATGTTCCATTAGGGGGGGTCCACGTTTCGCAAGCGTAGAGAAGGGAGGGAATGACCGTGGCCGAGAAGACCTGAAGCTTAGTGCGGAGCGACAGACCAGGTAGCTTCCACACAGCGTTACGCAACCGATGAAAAGATATTGCCACTCGACTGATTCGGAGTGAGACCTCTGCTGTTAAACTGGAGCCAGTCATAAGCACACTGCCCAGGTATGGGAAACTCTCCACTCTCTCCACAACTGCCCCATCACCGATTGGGAGTTGTGGGGGTGGTGTGTCCGATGGTACAAAATACCCAGGCAGGTGCTTAGTTTTGGTGGGGCTGATGGTAAGGCCCCACCTCTTAGTGGCACGCTCCAGTCTCAGCAGCAGCGTCTCCAACTCCTCCTCTGACTGAGCAGCTATTACCAAATCATCAGCATACATAACGTGGTTGAGCAATAGAGAGCCATCCTTTGACCGCACCCGGGCATCGATTAGCCTCCCATTATATCTGTACCATATGGAGATTCCCCCGGTACAGCTATTGAAGGCTTCACGAACTACGTGGTCAAAATAGATGTTAAATAATGTGGGAGCCAGAGGACATCCCTGTCGCACCCCAAGGTGTACAGGGAATGGCTCTGACTCCCGGCCACGTAGTTTTACCCGGGCCCGCTCACCATCATGAAGGTCCTTAATGATCGTGAGCAGAGGGTCAGGTACTCCAAAAGCACGAAGAACGACCCAGAGCCCAGGCCTACACAGACACACACACAGACACACACACACAGATACACACACGCGCGCGCGCACGTGACCGATTAATCGCCCGGCACGCTGCGCAGTGCGTACTTGCTCGCACGCTGCAACTGTCACGACTTGTCCAAATGTGTTCGCATATCCGCCTGCACATCACTCCGCAGCGAAGTGGGATGTGGCCACGGTGAGCAATGAACGCACTTCGTGCGCAATCTATGAACACGTTAGCTGCTGCTGCTGGGTTGGTAGCACAATTCACAAACTCAGCCCAAAACGTGCAAAAAATAAGACGAGGTTTCACCCTTTCTGGCAATAAAACAAGAGGTGATAAGATGTTCGAACACCAAATCGAAACCCATTCGAAAGGAATCGTGTCTGCATTAACCACAGATACCTGTGGTGAACATGCAAACAAAAACATGCTCTGATAATTATAAAATATGACGGCATCGTCGTTGAGACAACAGCCGCCTTCTCTCAGGCCCAGTCTCACCACCGGTGTCGGATCAGAGAACAACACAGAAAGGCGAAGTGGCAAAAAAATGTCCCATTTTTCAACGCAACACATTCCGTGTCAATAACACTCTGCCTGGCAATAAATAAATATAACAGGCGACGTTACGGGCAATGCTCCTTTGTCCATGTGCATTTGTGCATGTGTGTCTGCATAATGTCAGCGGCGTCGGTTCGACGAGAGCAAACTCGGGTCCGGTTTCGACATGCAGTGTCTCATCAGCAGTCACGATCGCGTTAACCAATGCTTGTGAACTGCCGGATGACGGCCGCTAATCGTCTTGCGTACGCGGTGCATTTAATGACGACTTATATTCTCCACGCCGACGCGAGTGATTGCGTTCTGTTGCCATTCTTGGCTGGGGGAGGCCCTCGCGTGGTGAAGTATGGTCGAGTGACCCCCACAAGCGCTGTGGTGCGTGGTGGGTGGGGGTGGAGTGGGGGTGGGGGGACGGCGGCGATGACTCGTCTCATTTTGCCTTTGGGTGGCCGCCAACAGATGAATAATTGACACACGGTGCGCTGTTATACCTTGCCGTGAGATCAGCACGCGTGGAGTGGAGCTCGAGAGGGAGGGAGAGGAGGGGAGACGGTGGTGGTGGGGTGAGAGGGAGTGGTGGTGGTGGTGGGCGAGGGGGTGTCGATGATGATGACGACGATCCAGGGGGAGGAGGAGCGTGAGACGTGAGGGAGGTGCGGGGGGGAGGGTGCCTCCAGCTGGGAACTCGCTCAGCTGGTGCCCGCGTCGCACATCGGTGCCAGGAGACGGACGAGAGCGACTGCCGCCCGACCAGGTAAGGGGTCCCTCCGCGTTGGGGTCCCTCCGCGTTGGGGTCTCTCCGCGATGGGCACCTCCACGACGGGGTCCCTCCGTGACGGGGTCCCTCCGCGATGGGGACCTCCACGACGGGGTCCCTCCGCGACGGGGTCCCTCCGCGACAGGGTCCCTCCGTGACGGGGTCCCTCCGCGATGGGGACCTCCACGACGGGGTCCCTCGAGCCCGTCCACACCAGCGAGGCGTCTCCCCCCACCTCTAACGCGCGCGCACTCCCATCACGCTTCAGAGACGCATGCCGCGTTGTTAGGCGCATGTTATGCACCTGGTGTGTGTGTGTATCATCGACGTGGGGGTGGTAGTAGTGGTGGTGGTGGTGTTACCTGGCGAAGTGTAATGATGGTTTGTACAGCTGGCTGCTCACCCTTCTCATCTCCGGGTAGCTAGGACAGTGGGCAACTTAAATCCCCAACCCCCCATTGCCCTCTTCTCGCCTTTGTCCACCCAGCAGCAGGCTGCGTGTGGTGGCGGTGGGGTAGAGTGTGGGTGACTCTCAGTGGGAGCGGTGGGGTAGAGTGTGGGTGACTCTCAGTGGGAGCGGTGGGGTAGAGTGTGGGTGACTCCTAGTGGTAGCGGTGGGGTAGAGTGTGGGTGACTCCTAGTGGTAGCGGTGGGGTAGAGTGTGGGTGACTCACAGTCGGAGCGGTGGGGTAGAGTGTGGGTGACTCCCAGTGGTAGCGGTGGGGTAGAGTGTGGGTGACTCCCAGTGGTAGCGGTGGGGTAGAGTGTGGGTGACTCCTAGTGTGGGCGTTGGGGTAGAGTGTGGGTGACTCTCAGTGGTAGCGGTGGGGTAGAGTGTGGGTGACTCCCATTGGTAGCGGTGGGGTAGAGTGTGGGTGACTCTCAGTGGTAGCGGTGGGGTAGAGTGTGGGTGACTCCCAGTGGTAGCGGTGGGGTAGAGTGTGGGTGACTCCTAGTGCTGGCGGTGGGGTAGAGTGTGGGTGACTCTTAGTGGTAGCGGTGGGGTAGAGTGTGGGTGACTCTCAGTGGTAGCGGTGGGGTAGAGTGTGGGTGACTCTCAGTGGGTGCGGTGGGGTAGAGTGTGGGTGACTCTCAGTGGGAGCGGTGGGGTAGAGTGTGGGTGACTCTCAGTGGTAGCGGTGGGGTAGAGTGTGGGTGACTCCCAGTGGTAGCGGTGGGGTAGAGTGTGGGTGACTCCCAGTGGTAGCGGTGGGGTAGAGTGTGGGTGACTCTCAGTGGTAGCGGTGGGGTAGAGTGTGGGTGACTCCCAGCGGTAGCGGTGGGGTAGAGTGTGGGTGACTCTCAGTGGTAGCGGTGGGGTAGAGTGTGGGTGACTCCCAGTGGTAGCGGTGGGGTAGAGCGTGGGTGACTCCTAGTGTGGGCGGTGGGGTAGAGTGTGGGTGACTCCTAGTGGTAGCGGTGGGGTAGAGTGTGGGTGACTCCCAGTGGTAGCGGTGGGGTAGAGTGTGGGTGACTCTCAGTGGTAGCGGTGGGGTAGAGTGTGGGTGACTCCTAGTGGTAGCGGTGGGGTAGAGTGTGGGTGACTCTCAGTGGTAGCGGTGGGGCAGAGTGTGGGTGACTCCCAGTGGTAGCGGTGGGGTAGAGTGTGGGTGACTCTCAGTGGTAGCGGTGGGGTAGAGTGTGGGTGACTCTCAGTGGGAGCGGTGGGGTAGAGTGTGGGTGACTCCTAGTGGTAGCGGTGGGGTAGAGTGTGAGTGACTCCTAGTGCTTGCGGTGGGGTAGAGTGTGGGTGACTCTCAGTGGTAGCGGTGGGGTAGAGTGTGGGTGACTCTCAGTGGTAGCGGTGGGGTAGAGTGTGGGTGACTCTCAGTGGGAGCGGTGGGGTAGAGTGTGGGTGACTCCTAGTGGTAGCAGTGGGGTAGAGTGTGGGTGACTCTCAGTGGGAGCGGTGGGGTAGAGTGTGGGTGACTCCTAGTGCTGGCGGTGGGGTAGAGTGTGGGTGACTCCTAGTGGTAGCGGTGGGGTAGAGTGTGGGTGACTCTCAGTGGTAGCGGTGGGGTAGAGTGTGGGTGACTCTCAGTGGGTGCGGTGGGGTAGAGTGTGGGTGACTCTCAGTGGGAGCGGTGGGGTAGAGTGTGGGTGACTCTCAGTGGTAGCGGTGGGGTAGAGTGTGGGTGACTCCCAGTGGTAGCGGTGGGGTAGAGTGTGGGTGACTCCCAGTGGTAGCGGTGGGGTAGAGTGTGGGTGACTCTCAGTGGTAGCGGTGGGGTAGAGTGTGGGTGACTCTCAGTGGGAGCGGTGGGGTAGAGTGTGGGTGACTCCTAGTGGTAGCGGTGGGGTAGAGTGTGAGTGACTCCTAGTGCTGGCGGTGGGGTAGAGTGTGGGTGACTCTCAGTGGTAGCGGTGGGGTAGAGTGTGGGTGACTCTCAGTGGTAGCGGTGGGGTAGAGTGTGGGTGACTCTCAGTGGGAGCGGTGGGGTAGAGTGTGGGTGACTCCTAGTGGTAGCAGTGGGGTAGAGTGTGGGTGACTCTCAGTGGGAGCGGTGGGGTAGAGTGTGGGTGACTCCTAGTGGTGGCGGTGGGGTAGAGTGTGGGTGACTCCTAGTGGTAGCGGTGGGGTAGAGTGTGGGTGACTCTCAGTGGTAGCGGTGGGGTAGAGTGTGGGTGACTCTCAGTGGGTGCGGTGGGGTAGAGTGTGGGTGACTCTCAGTGGGAGCGGTGGGGTAGAGTGTGGGTGACTCTCAGTGGTAGCGGTGGGGTAGAGTGTGGGTGACTCCCAGTGGTAGCGGTGGGGTAGAGTGTGGGTGACTCCCAGTGGTAGCGGTGGGGTAGAGTGTGGGTGACTCTCAGTGGTAGCGGTGGGGTAGAGTGTGGGTGACTCCTAGTGGTAGCGGTGGGGTAGAGTGTGGGTGACTCTCAGTGGTAGCGGTGGGGTAGAGTGTGGGTGACTCCCAGTGGTAGCGGTGGGGTAGAGTGTGGGTGACTCTCAGTGGTAGCGGTGGGGTAGAATGTGGGTGACTCTCGGTGGGAGCGGTGGGGTAGAGTGTGGGTGACTCCTAGTGGTAGCGGTGGGGTAGAGTGTGAGTGACTCCTAGTGCTGGCGGTGGGGTAGAGTGTGGGTGACTCTCAGTGGTAGCGGTGGGGTAGAGTGTGGGTGACTCTCAGTGGTAGCGGTGGGGTAGAGTGTGGGTGACTCTCAGTGGGAGCGGTGGGGTAGAGTGTGGGTGACTCCTAGTGCTGGCGGTGGGGTAGAGTGTGGGTGACTCCTAGTGCTGGCGGTGGGGTAGAGTGTGGGTGACTCCTAGTGCTGGCGGTGGGGTAGAGTGTGGGTGACTCTCAGTGGTAGCAGTGGGGTAAAGTGTGGGTGACTCTCAGTGGTAGCGGTGGGGTAGAGTGTGGGTGACTCCTAGTGGTAGCGGTGGGGTAGAGTGTGGGTGACTCCTAGTGGTAGCGGTGGGGTAGAGTGTGGGTGACTCTCAGTGGTAGCGGTGGGGTAAAGTGTGGGTGACTCTCAGTGGTAGCGGTGGGGTAGAGTGTGGGTGACTCCTAGTGGTAGCGGTGGGGTAGAGTATGGGTGACTCTCAGTGGTAGCGGTGGGGTAGAGTGTGGGTGACTCCTAGTGGTAGCGGTGGGGTAGAGTGTGAGTGACTCTCAGTGCTGGCGGTGGGGTAAAGTGTGGGTGACTCCCAGTGGTAGCTGTGGGGTAAAGTGTGGGTGACTCCTAGTGCTGACGGTGGGGTAGAGTGTGGGTGACTCCTAGTGCTGGCGGTGGGGTAGAGTGTGAGTGACTCCCACCACCACTGCTTCTAAAACGGCTGCTCTGCGTGGAAGAGCAGGGTAGAGATGTCGCAGCAGCGGCGTAAGCAATTGCAGGGCAGCGCCTTTACCTTTGCCAATCAGAAATAATATCATCGTCAGCCATGGTCAGTCTACTGCTGGATGAAGGCCTCCCTCCGCTAGCCTGTGATGTTTAATCCACATTAGCGCGGTTAATCGCCCCATCTCCTCTCCGGATGTCATCATCCACCGACCGCTCTCTCGTTTTAACTACCACTGTTACCATGACTACCACTCTCACCATGACTACCACTGTTACCATGACTACCACTCTTACCATGACTACCACTATTAACATGACTACCACTGATACCATGACTACCACTCTCACCATAACTACCACTCTCACTATAACTACCACTCTCACCATGACTACCACTATTACCATGACTACCACTGTTACCATGACTACCACTCTCACCATGACTACCACTGTTACCATGATTACCACTGTTACCATGCCTACCACTCTCACCATGACTACCACTCTCACCATGACTACCACTGTTACCATGACTACCACTCTCACCATAACTACCACTCTCACCATGACTACCACTCTCACCATGACTACCACTCTCACCATGACTACCACTGTTACCATGACTACCACTGTTACCATGACTACCACTCTCAGCATAAATACCACTCTTACCATGACTACCACTCTCACCATGACTAGCACTCTCACCATGACTACCACTCTCACCATGACTACCACTGTTACCATGACTACCACTCTCACCATAACTACCACTCTCACCATGACTACCACTCTCACAATGACTACCACTCTCACCATGACTACCACTGTTACCATGACTACCACTGTTACCATGACTACCACTCTCAGCATAAATACCACTCTTACCATGACTACCACTCTCACCATGACTAGCACTCTCACCATGACTACCACTGTCACCATGACTACCACTGTTACCATGACTACCACTCTCACCATAACTACCACTCTCACCACACTTTACCCCACCACGTTGCCTGGTGCAGGGCGGACGCGGCCGGGGTCTCGGGGTGGATTTAAGGAAAGTTTCACTGCTTTCACGGCTGCCGCGCCGTGAGATCGAATCGAGCCGGCGACCCCTGTGACACTTCAAATCCAGCGCGCGCGAGCACCACTTTACACCACCAATGTGGCAGCATTCCCTTAAACGGCTGCAGTGGTTTAGAGTGACCCGCTTACGTGCGTGTGTGCGTACGCACGCATGTTGAACTTCGTTCGCACAGCAAACTACACACAACAAGCAGTGCTGAAGAAATGAGTGTTCAATCTGGTGGACTTAAATGTGCACAGCTGCGGTGGCTTCCCGATATCGGAAGGAAAGAACGTTCCAGACGGCCGCGGAAGCGCATCTGAAAGCGCCGCGCGCTGCGGTGAGTCTCTTTGTTCGATGGCCCAGCCAACAAAAGCCGCCGCCGCTGCTGCTGCTGCAGCGAGGACGCGGAGTTGATCACAGCAAGCGGCTGGCTCGTCATCTTCTGCCCTGTCCCCCCGTGGCTGCAGACGGAGACGGAGTAGCAGCCCCGTACGCCGATACAGTGGAGGACAGGTGGCACGCAGCGTGTGGCAGTCACGCCAGGAGACGTGACCACCACCACCACCACCACCACAGTCGTCTCTGAAGACCAGGGGACCGCGTGAGACGCACGGCGCATCATGCAACACCACCAGACCACCTCGGCAGACCTTCCCGCCTCTCCCGAGGATGATCGCGGAGTTCGTCTCAAGGTAAAGGGCGCCGCGACAGCTGCCGCGGTGCCCTGGGCGAGTTCGGGTTGGGGCGGTCGTGGGCGGTCGGGGGCGGCCGGGACCTTCGGTTGCCCCGGCCGCCTGACTCGACCCCTGCCGGGTGAATGGGTGGCCGGGTCCACCCGCACCCCCGCATCGATTATTTAGGGCGCAGCGGAGAACGCCGTCACGGTAATCCTACGAGGACTGTACAGTGTGGTCCAGATGTCTTGTGATACCCCCCCCTCCCCATTTAATTATCTAAGACGTAATCTCTTTTTTAAAAGTATCGCTTCTTTACAATATGAAATGGGGGGGGGGACGGTTTAGGGGTAAATTAATTAGGGGTCACAAGACCTTTGGACCACCCCGTACGTCACGCCTGATCCGGTGCTGCACCGGCCACAGATCCGTGAGTTCCAACCCCGCGCGTGGATCCCATCCGTCCGGGTTGTTCTCCCTCCCTCCCTCTCTGGGGCAAAGTCCTCGCTTTGATGGCAACGCAACCTCGTACTGGTACCCTAAACGTCACTTGGACGTGGCCATAAATGTCACCAATGCCCTCTGGAGGGACTGTCTGGAGCCGCGTTCTTCACCCATTTGAAACCATTGGGGGGGGGGGGGGGGTTGTGACAGCAGCACCACGACAACGATGGCGATGATGATGATGGAGTTGTGTTCTCGCCATTTGTGTATCGTCAGGGCCCGCACTAAAGGCCATCAGGGGCCGCCAGGGGCCCACGGGGCCTTGCGGTGACTCACTCTGGTCTAGAGCCCCTCTCTAGCTGTGCCCTCTACCGCCAGCAGTGGCGTGAGCCGGCACTTGCGGGGCTGCGCCTTTATCTCTGACTCAGTCCAGCCGTGAAGGGCTTCTTCCCACAGCGGTGTCGGTCGTTCGCAGGGGGGTTATTTGACCATACTTCACCACGCTGATCAGCGCAAGGTTGGCGAAGGGGGCAGGGGGGGAGAAGTATGGGGGGGGGGGGCACAGTGGCACCTAGGACCGCACCTCCGATTAGCACGGTTGGCTACGTACGGTGCGAAAGAAGTTCAGCGTACATACACGACCCTCGAGGCCGACGTTAGCCTGACGTTAGCCGTGACCGTGAAAATCGAGAAGGTCACAGGGGTTCGTCGGCGCTGGGTGCTAGCCACTGCGTCACCGCTCCCCATAACGCCTGCTTGGCAAAGGTACAGATCCCCCGTGTAGCCTTGACAGACTGGTGGGCAAGTGCTGTTAGCGAGTAGCGTCTATGAAGGCCGGCACAACGCACGAGGAGAAGGGAGGCCAGCACCACTCCCTGCCGCCTTTGTCTCCCCAGCGGCGATGTTTACACACCGCACCAGGTACTCGTTTGAGGCTGAGTCGACCTAGGGGGAGGCGCAGGACCGTCAGCAATGGTTTGCTTGGGGGTGGGGTGGAGGGTGAACCTTACTTTCCGCAGCGTTTTCTAGTCGGGTGAATACGTTAACTGTGTGTGCAGTAAGGCAAATAAGAAGTAGTAGTAATAATAAGTCGTAGTAGTAATAATAAGTCGTAGTAATAATAATAAGTCATAGTAGTAATAATAAGTCGTAGTAATAATCAGTCGTAGTAGTAGTAGTGATAATAAGTAGCAGTAATAATAATAAGAGTGTGCTGAAGACGGGCGAGCGGGTGGATCGCGCGCGCGTGCCACGCGCACCGCATGCATCTTTAATGCGGACAATGATGCGGCTGGGTTATTTACGCAAGTGTTCGCTTACAACGTGGACACAACAACAATAATGATGATGGTGGTGGTTGTTGGTGATCATGGTGGTTGGCGGTTGTGATGATGGGGCGCGGTCGCTATGAGCCCGGCGACCCGAGTTCGATTCCCGCTCACGGCCAACACCGGAGAAGATATATGAACGGGTCCTGTGCCTCCCTTAGGTCGACTCAGCCTCAGTTGAGTACCTGATACGATGTGTAAAGACATTAGCACTAGGGCGTGGTCCTGGCCACCCACACCCTCGTGTGTCGTGCCGGCCTTCATAGGTTCTCGTTTACAGCAATTTCCCCAACAGTTTGTTAAGGCTATACCGGGGATCTTTGTCTTAGATGATGATGATGATGGTGGTGATGATGACACTATCATTATCTGGTGCAGGAGCTCTTCTGTATATAGCAATTATAATGTCCAGCCAGGGTAGTTGAATTAATTTAGATTGTTTCCTTAGGAAGTGTTATGACTGACGTTAATTACATGAATCTTGTAATGTATAGTAGTTTAATTAGAATATAATCATTCTTATTTATGTATCGGAGAAGCCACTACTCGTGTTGTAATTCAGAGGTGGTGGGGGGGGGGGGGGAGTCGATTCGATCTCCCCCGGTGCGGAAGTTGAAACTTCTTAAATTCGCCCCCCCCCCCCATACCTCTGTCCGGCCACCACAGCTAGTCGATGGACAGGTCCAAGTGTGGTGCGGTGAAGTGTGGGGAACGTCCCAAAGACGTCGGAAGAAGTAGGCCAAAATACCCTCGCAGAGGGCAGATCAACAAATAGCGTCTCGTTCGTCTGGTCGTGTTGCGTACGATGGCAAAAAGCGTTCAGGAGCTCGATGCCGAGGTCTGCTGCTGCTGCTGGCCACGACGAGAGGGTTTCAGCAGAGAGAGAGACAGAGAGAGTTGGTGTCGTGTCGCTCTTCCTCCTCCTGCTGCGTTGAAGGAGCGCAGAAGACCACAGTGGGTTCACTGCGCGGCCCAGAGTGTTGGGTTGCATGGTCACAATGGCTTGGGCCCCCACCCTTCCCCCACAGCGGGGCCAGCACGAACACCGCTGGGCACACGCAGAGAGACCACGGCGAGAGGGGTGGGGGGGGTGGAGCAGCAACCGGCGCCTCCACACAGACCGGCAAAAGAAATCTCTCTGGCCGGATCAATTTGCCTTCAACCGGGGATAGGGTGACGCCGTCAACTTAATCCACTACCCGCGCGCTGGCTCACGGGAATGCTTTGTTCTCGGAAGGAGTGGGATTAAAGATTAAAGATTCAAGGTGCTCACACGTGGACGCTCGACTGAGGGGGCACAGCCAGTGCGCGTGACCGTGTGTGTAGGGCCACCCACAGCGTGTGTCTAGATGTGACTAGGAGACACACACAGCGTGTGTCTAGATGTGACTAGGAGACACACAGCGTGTGTCTAGATGTGACTAGGAGACACACACAGCGTGTGTCTAGATGTGACTAGGAGACACACACAGCGTGTGTCTAGATGTGACTAGGAGACACACAGCGTGTGTCTGGATGTGACTAGGAGACACAGCGTGTGTCTAGATGTGACTAGGAGACACACACAGCGTGTGTCTAGATGTGACTAGGAGACACACACAGCGTGTGTCTAGATGTGACTAGGAGACACACAGCGTGTGTCTAGATGTGACTAGGAGACACACAGCGTGTGTCTAGATGTGACTAGGAGACAGAGTGTGTCTAGATGTGACTAGGAGACACACACAGCGTGTGTCTAGATGTGACTAGGAGACACACACAGCGTGTGTCTAGATGTGACTAGGAGACACACAGCGTGTGTCTAGATGTGACTAGGAGACACACAGCGTGTGTCTAGATGTGACTAGGAGACACACAGAGTGTGTCTAGATGTGACTAGGAGACACACAGCGTGTGTCTAGATGTGACTAGGAGACACACACAGCGTGTGTCTAGATGTGACTAGGAGACACACAGCGTGTGTCTAGATTGACTAGGAGACACACACAGCGTGTGTCTAGATGTGACTAGGAGACACACACGGAGTGTGTTTAGATGTGACTAGGAGACACACAGCGTGTGTCTAGATGTGACTAGGAGACACACAGCGTGTGTCTAGATGTGACTAGGAGACACACACAGCGTGTGTCTAGATGTGACTAGGAGACACACAGCGTGTGTCTAGATGTGACTAGGAGACACCCACAGCGTGTGTCTAGATGTGACTAGGAGACACACACAGCGTGTGTCTAGATGTGACTAGGAGACACACACGGAGTGTGTCTAGATGTGACTAGGAGACAGCTTGTGTCTAGATGTGACTAGGAGACACCCACAGCTTGTGTCTAGATGTGACTAGGAGACACACAGAGTGTGTCTAGATGTGACTAGGAGACACACAGCGTGTGTCTAGATGTGACTAGGAGACACACACAGCGTGTGTCTAGATGTGACTAGGAGACACACACGGAGTGTGTCTAGATGTGACTAGGAGACAGCTTGTGTCTAGATGTGACTAGGAGACACCCACAGCTTGTGTCTAGATGTGACTAGGAGACACACAGCGTGTGTCTAGATGTGACTAGGAGACACACAGCGTGTGTCTAGATGTGACTAGGAGACACACAGCGTGTGTCTAGATGTGACTAGGAGACACACAGCGTGTGTGTCTAGATGTGACTAGGAGACACACAGCGTGTGTATAGATGTGACTAGGAGACACACACAGCTTGTGTCTAGATGTGACTAGGAGACACACAGCGTGTGTCTAGATGTGACTAGGAGACACACACAGCTTGTGTCTAGATGTGACTAGGAGACACACAGCGTGTGTCTAGATGTGACTAGGAGACACACAGCGTGTGTCTAGATGTGACTAGGAGACACCCACAGCGTGTGTCTAGATGTGACTAGGAGACACACACAGCGTGTGTCTAGATGTGACTAGGAGACACACACGGAGTGTGTCTAGATGTGACTAGGAGACAGCTTGTGTCTAGATGTGACTAGGAGACACCCACAGCTTGTGTCTAGATGTGACTAGGAGACACACAGAGTGTGTCTAGATGTGACTAGGAGACACACAGCGTGTGTCTAGATGTGACTAGGAGACACACACAGCGTGTGTCTAGATGTGACTAGGAGACACACACGGAGTGTGTCTAGATGTGACTAGGAGACAGCTTGTGTCTAGATGTGACTAGGAGACACCCACAGCTTGTGTCTAGATGTGACTAGGAGACACACAGCGTGTGTCTAGATGTGACT